AAGCGAGTCTCCTGCCTCAGCCTCCCAAGTAGCTGGGACCACACGCGCCCGCCACAACGCCCAGCTAGTTTTTGGTTGGCGGGCCGGGGCTGGATTCGAACCCGCCACCTTAGGTGTATGTGGCTGGCGCCTTAGCCACTTGAGCCACAGGGGCCGAGCCGCATTACCTTTCTAAGGTTGATAAAAGCTTGAAGTCAGGGCCAGGCATGGTAGTTCAAGCCTGTAATCCTAGCACTCTGAGGCCAGGGCAGTTGGATTGCTTGAACTCAGGAGTTCAAGACCAACTCCAGCAAGAACAAGACTTCTTTTTTTCCTGTTTAAGAGAGAGAGTCTCACTTTGTTGCCCTCGATAGAGTGCTGTGGCATCGCAGCTCACAGCAACCTCCAACTCCTGGGCTTATGCGGCGTCACAGTTCACAGCAACCTCCAACTCCTTGGGCTTAGGTGATTCTCTTGCCTCAGCCTCCTGAGTAGCTGGGACCACAGGCACCTGCCACAATGCCTGGCTATTTTTTTGTTGTTGTTGCACTTTTGCCAGGGCCGGGTTCAAACCCACCACCCTCAGTATATGGGGCCGCACAACACTTTCTTTCTACTAAAAACTAGCCAGGGCCAGGCACAGTGGCTCACGCCTGTAATCCCAACACTCTGGGAGGCCAAGGAGGGTGAATTGCCTGAGCTCACAGGTTGGAGCCAGCCGGAGGCAGAGCGAGACCCCCACCTCTAAAAATAGCCAGGTGTTGTGGCTTTGCCTGTAGTCCCAGCTACTTGGGAGGCTGAGGCAAGAGAATCACTTGAGCCCAAGAGTTTGAGGTTGCTGTGAGCTACAATGCGACAACACTCTACTGAGGATGACAAACTGCGACTCTGTCTAAAAAACAAAAAACTAGCCAGATGTTGTGGCAGGTGCCTATAGTCCCAGCTGCTCAAGACGCAGAGTCAGGAGGATCACTTGGGCCCAGGAAATTGAGGTTGCTGTGAGCTATGAAGCCATACCATAGCACTCTACCCTGGGGCAACAGAGACTCTGTCTCAAATAAACAAAGCAAAACCCAAAATCAAATCAGATGGATTGATTCAGTGCCTGGTGTGCAGGAGCTTCACTCAAATGTTAGAGTTACCCAATCCATTAGGAGGGGCTGAGTGAGAGGGGTACAGTAGGGACTGGGAATTATTTATTGATGCTGTGGGGAGGGCATCCCTGACATCATGCCTCAGCCTCTAGGGCGGGGCCGCTATAACCCATGCTCACCCAGGTGTAGGCAGAGGCTGGCTGGCCCCTGGCCAGCTCCAAGATGTTTCCCTTTGCCTGGTAACAGGGAGGTGTGGTTCAGGCAGGATATGAAGGGGAGCAGCGCAACTAAAAAGTAGTAGAAAGGAGCCTCACCCCGATCCGTCTGGCTCCACCAAATGCTGAGGACCAGCTCCCCCAGGCTGAAGGAGATAAGTGAGTGGGAAGAGCATGACAGGAGCTGAGGACCTGAAAAGGCCATGGGGTCCTTAATCACGCTCTGGGTTCAGCCCAACCCTGGGACAAGAGGTGAAGGAGGAGCTGAACGCGTAGAAGTTCCGCACAGCCACGAACCAGACCCCTGAGTTACCAGGCCCCAGGGACAGATAACGGTAAGAACCAAGCCTGTAACCACACACCCTCCACTACAGGTCTGGACCAGAATGAGGCTCCAGTGAAAACAGCCGTCACCAGAGATTCAGATCATGTACTTGTACAGGTGCCTAGCGCCCGAGGAGGGCTTCTGGCCTCTGCCGCTGCCCTTCACCTGCACCTACCTGCCCGCCTCTCTGCTGCTGCCCCCTATCCAAGCCCACAATTTCTGCAGCCGACCCTGGAGCCTGAGCGCGGGCAAGTGGATGGCGCCACGAGAATACCACTGCTTCTACAGCCCAGGAGCGCCTCTGGCCGCCCCGCCGCCCTGGTGGGCCTTCCCGCCTGTCTACGGCCCGGCCCCGCGCCCCCTCTTCCCGGCCGACAGCGTCTCGGCTCCATCGCCGCAGGTGCTCGCGGCCGGGTCAGGGACTACCGCGGCTGAGAGCTGGGCGCAGTGGCCCGAAGGCAGCAGCCTGGACGCCAAGTTGCACTGGGGACGTGTGGAGCGCGCGCAGGGGCCGCGCCTCCAGCTGCCCGACTTCGTGCGCCGGGAGTTGCGGCGCGTGTACGGCACGTACCCTCGCACCGACGTGCGCGTCACCCACCGCCGCGGCGAGTTCCTGCTGCAGGGAGTGCCGCGAGTCGGCGAGCCAGAGTACCGCGTGGAGAGGCGCGTGGTGCGCCAGCCCACCAGCGCCGGCAGCAGCGGCAGCCCGACCCGGAAAGCCGCGGAGCGCGGCCGCCCCGGGAAGAGGAGAGGCCTGAGCTGATGGAGCCGTCGGGTAGAGCCGCCGGCCCTCGAGAACGGGCGCGCCTCTCGTTGCGCCTGCCGCCGCCAGCCGGTGGGATAGAGGCCGCACCTGTGCCCGGAAGCCGGGTGCTCCTCACCTGTCTCTGGTTTTTAACATGACTGCCCACCGCCCCCAATCCTGCACTTCCTTAATTTCTTTCGTGTTATTGCTGGACGTTCTATTCCTTCCTTCTTGGGACTTAAGAAGCGGGGAGTGGGGTGGTAGAAGGGCCTGACCCTTTCTTCCCTCACTCTGTCCTCCTTCCCAGCTTCTCCTAAGAAGCCTATCCTGCTGTGAGCCCCAGCTTTCCCCTCCTTTCCTCCCTCTTCTAGAGCTTCCCCACTCCCCCCACAGCTGAGGGAGCTACATGATCCCCAGCTTGTAAAGAAAAGTAAATAAATGAGTGAATCAGGTTACACTAGGAGATCATTTTTATTTGGAGGGTGGTGTTTCCTTAGTGTAAAGGGAGCTTTACATCACTCCGTGGAATACAAGAAGGTAGGTTCTGGGGAGTGGGTTAAGTTATAGTGGCCCTCTGGATTAAGTGTGCACCCTGACCACTGGGACTACCTCCCCTCTTCACCTTCCCTCCAGTGTGCAGGCCAACTCCTAGGCTTCACTGGTCCTGTGGCCCACCATCCACAGATTCTGAGGGCATAAGCTGTGTTGAAGTGTGGAAGGCATGACTAGGGAAGGGACGCCTGAGACCTGAGCTTAGGGCTGGCTTTGACATTTTCTACCTTGTAACTTTTTTTTTTGAGACAGAGCCTCAAGCTGTTGCCCTAGGTAGAGTGCTCTGGTATTACAGCACACAGCAACTTCCAACTCCTGGACTTAAGCAAGCAATTCTTTTGCCTCAGCCTCCCAAGTAGCTTGGACTACAGATGCTCACCACAACGCTGGGCTATTTTTTGGTTGTAGTTGTCATTGTTTGGCGGGCCTGGGCTAGATTCGAACCTGCCAGCTCTGGTGCATGTAGCTGGCACCTTAGCCACTTGAGCTACTGGCACTGAGCCTCTACCTTGTAACATAAGGCTCTCTGAGCCTCAGTTTCTTCATCTGTAAGGGAGAGAAAACTAACCCAGCCTACTTGGAAGTTAAGATAAAAGTCATTTCTTAGGCCGGGCGTGTTGGCTTACGCCTATAATTCTAACACTCTGGTAGCCTGAGATGGGTGGATTGCCTGAGCTCACAGTTTCCAGACCAGCCTGAGCCAGAGTGAGACCTCATCTCTAAAAAAAGCCAGGCATTGTGTATGGTGCCTCTAGTCCCAGCTTCTTGGGAGGCTGAGGCCAGAGAATTGCTTGAGCCCAAGAGTTTGAGGTTGCTGTTAGCTATGACACCTTGGTGCTCTACCAGGGGCAACCAAGTGAGATTCAAAAAAAAAAAAAAAAGGAAGAATGTGATGGGTCTGCTGTTTGACACTGGGTGAATTATTTAATGTCCCTGAACGAATTTCTTCATTTCAAATAGGAATGATGATATTAGAACCTATTTCATAAAGTTACTGAGAAGACCGTGTGAAATCTCAGTGTTTCCACAGTACACCCACTCTTTACCACAGTGCTCAGATGTTAGTGTTTTGTTAGAAAATATAGTTTGCAGTACAGAAATACATGTTATAGGAAGTTGGCATCTTTCTGATTTCTCTCACCCATTAATGATCACTGGGTCCAATCTATCCTTTTTTTGTTTCTATGCACATAGCATTAACTACATAAAAAGAATGTCATCGTTTTTCCTATCACATTTTTTTGTTGTTGGGGTGGGGGAAGAGAGTCTTACTCTGTTGTCCAGGCTAGAGTGCCTAACTCAAAGCAACCTCAAACTTCTGGACTCAAGTGATCTTCCTGCCTCAGCCTCCTAAGTAGCTGGGACTAGAGGCTTCTGCCATATCACCCAATAAATTGTTTGTTTGTTTTTTAATTTTTAGTTGAGACGACAGTCTCACCATTGCTAAGGCAGTCTTGAACTCCTGAGCTCCAGGGATTCTCTGCCTTGGCTTCCCAGGGTGGTAGGATTACAGTAGTGAGCTATCTCACCCAGCTGCCTATCACATTTTACTCTAAGTATATCTTGGATATCATTCCATGTCAGTACATAAGAGCAACCTCATTCTTTAACAGCTACCCAGTATTTATAGTTATTGGATTTTTTCCAGTTTATAGCTACTAAAAGTTAACAAATTTCTCAAGTGCCAGGCAATGTTCTAGGTCCTGGGAATACAGTAGAGAGTAAGACAAACATGATGAACCCTGCTCTCATGGAATATATATGTATATATATATTAGAGAGAGAGTCTTACTCTGTCGCCCTCGGTAGAGTGGTATGGCATCACAGCTCACAGCAACCTCCAGCTCTTGGGCTTAAGCTATTCTCTTGCCTCAGCCTCTTGAGTAGCTGGGACTACAGGCGCCTGCCACAATGCTCGGCTATTGTTTTTATTGCAGTTTGGCCAGGGTGAGGTTTGAACCCGCCCTGCCACCCTCCATATATGGGGCCAGTGCCCTACCCACTGAGCCACAGGCACCACCCTAAAAGAGGGATCTTGGAAAATGCATCTGAGAGGGGCTTTGAAGAACACATAGGATTCCAGCAGGTTGCAATGGTGAGGAAGTGTCCCTAGAAGAACTGAGGAGGCACTGGCAGGAGTGAAAGCACCAAAGTGTGAGCAGGGGCAACAGAGTTTCATTGGTAGCAACAGGTTATGACCAGGTAGCAACAGAGATTGGCTTGAAAGCCAAAAGGAGGCCACACTGTGGAAGACTTTAAAAGCAGGGTAAGGAAATTTGGGGACCCATTGAAGTCTTTGAGCAGAGGAGTAGACCCAGTCAAAGTTATTTTAAAAAATTGGCCTGTGGGCTCGGCGCCTGTGGCTCAAGCGGCTAAGGCACCAGCCACATACCCCTAAGGTGGCGGGTTCGAATCCCCAGCCCGGGCCTGCCAAACAACAATGACGGCTGCAACCAAAAAAATGGCCGGACGTTGTGGCGGGCGCCTGTAGTCCCAGCTACTTGGGAGGCTGAGGCAAGAGACTCGCTTGAGCCCAGGAGTTGGAGGTTGCTGTGAGCTGTGATG